GTTCCCATTTTGAACCATTTCATTTGTCTGAAGGAGGAACTACGCCCAGAGAGCAAATCAAGTGCACCTATAGGCCTACCTCTGGCCAATCAAATAGCTCAGATCACTGTGTATGCACAGTTTCCCCGAGCCATAGACTGTAAAAATAATCCTTGACCGCACAGCAAAGTTGATCATGTGAGATTTCAACACTTTTAAAACCGTGACTAGAGAGAGTGTTTTGATAAGCTAGCGTTATTATTAGTGGCTTGTGTCTTTTTTAATATCGAGGAATATTTAACTTTCTCTGGTCATAGGAGTAACAACATGAATTGGTGCATGAGGCAGAAATAATGCATTGCGACTTAAGTTGTGCCATCAACTGGAAGACTGTGTCCCCTTTTCTCAGTGGAGGGAGGGAGAGAGGAGGGACGGTGAGTCGGGTGAGAGGCAGCCTCACCGCTGCTCCCTCCATCCCTTCAGTCTGACCATCAGATAAGGGCCATCAGTCCAGTAAAAATGTGTGCCTCACAAGTAATACAACAAATGATATATTAACAGTGTGATCATATACTTAATTTTTTTAAATATAATTTCAAAATGGTCAGAGAAGAACAACATTGGCTTAGCCAATATGCGGTGATATTGTAATGGGCCTATAGCCTACATAACTGTTTTTTAATGGGTTAATGTTGCATAGGCTTACGTTTTTTAAGTTATGTTTTTTTTTTTATCTGAGCGGTAGATATCGGCTTGGATTTTGACTCAGAAAGTGATCTTGACTCAGAAAAGGTTGGTGACCACTGGGTTAGGGTAAGGGTTAAGGTTCGGGTTAGGGCTAGGGCTAGGGCTAGGGTTAGGGTAAGGGTTATGTTTAGGGTTAGTAGATACTTAGTTACTGATAGTCTGTAGATAATCTACAGATGGACTATACAAATAAAGTGTTAAAATATATATACAGTGGGGGGAAAAAGTATTTAGTCAGCCACCAATTGTGCAAGTTCTCCCACTTAAAAAGATGAGAGAGGCCTGTAATTTTCATCATAGGTACACGTCAACTATGACAGACAAAATGAGAATTTTTTTTTCCAGAAAATCACATTGTAGGATTTTTGATGAATTTATTTGCAAATTATGGTGGAAAATAAGTATTTGGTCAATAACAAAAGTTTCTCAATACTTTGTTATATACCCTTTGTTGGCAATGACACAGGTCAAACGTTTTCTGTAAGTCTTCACAAGGTTTTCACACACTGTTGCTGGTATTTTGGCCCATTCCTCCATGCAGATCTCCTCTAGAGCAGTAATGTTTTGGGGCTGTCGCTGGGCAACACGGACTTTCAACTCCCTCCAAAGATTTTCTATGGGGTTGAGATCTGGAGACTGGCTAGGCCACTCCAGGACCTTGAAATGCTTCTTACGAAGCCACTCCTTCGTTGCACGGGCGGTGTGTTTGGGATCATTGTCATGCTGAAAGACCCAGCCACGTTTCATCTTCAATGCCCTTGCTGATGGAAGGAGGTTTTCACTCAAAATCTCACGATACATGGCCCCATTCATTCTTTCCTTTATACGGATCAGTCGTCCTGGTCCCTTTGCAGAAAAACAGACCCAAAGCATGATGTTTCCACCCCCATGCTTCACAGTAGGTATGGTGTTCTTTGGGTGCAACTCAGCATTCTTTGTCCTCCAAACACGACGAGTTGAGTTTTTACCAAAAAGTTCTATTTTGGTTTCATCTGACCATATGACATTCTCCCAATCCTCTTCTGGATCATCCAAATGCACTCTAGCAAACTTCAGACGGGCCTGGACATGTACTGGCTTAAGCAGGGGAACACGTCTCGCACTGCAGGATTTGAGTCCCTGGCGGCGTAGTGTGTTACTGATGGTAGGCTTTGTTACTTTGGTCCCAGCTCTCTGCAGGTCATTCACTAGGTCCCCCCGTGTGGTTCTGGGATTTTTGCTCACCGTTCTTGTGATCATTTTGACCCCACGGGGTGAGATCTTGCGTGGAGCCCCAGATCAAGGGAGATTATCAGTGGTCTTGTATGTCTTCCATTTCCTAATAATTGCTCCCACAGTTGATTTCTTCAAACCAAGCTGCTTACCTATTGCAGATTCAGTCTTCCCAGCCTGGTGCAGGTCTACAATTTTGTTTCTGGTGTCCTTTGACAGCTCTTTGGTCTTGGCCATAGTGGAGTTTGGAGTGTGACTGTTTGAGGTTGTGGACAGGTGTCTTTTATACTGATAACAAGTTCAAACAGGTGCCATTAATACAGGTAACGAGTGGAGGACAGAGGAGCCTCTTAAAGAAGAAGTTACAGGTCTGTGAGAGCCAGAAATCTTGCTTGTTTGTAGGTGACCAAATACTTATTTTCCACCATAATTTGCTTAGATTTTTTTTCCTCAATTTGTCTGTCATAGTTGACGTGTACCTATGATGAAAATTACAGGCCTCTCTCATCTTTTTAAGTGGGAGAACTTGCACAATTGGTGGCTGACTAAATACTTTTTTTCCCCACTGTATATACATACTGTAACCTACAGTATACAGGCAGCAATTCATCCTCCCATGCAACCGGCATCCTGATGTGTTTTTGTTTATGTTTGTTTGCTGGAATGAATGCATTTGTATATCCCAGTGTTGGTATGCGTTCCACATAATAGGTCACTCTCTTCAGATCAGTGAATAAATGGAGTATATTGGGACAAATATGGATTACTGAAGAGTTTTTTTCACCAGTTATAGATCATTGACTACGTACTGTATACACAAGGCCACATCAACCAGAGAAATAGTGATCAATCGTTAGCCATCATTAATGTTGCATAGATACCATTGATGTTGCATAGATACCATTGGGTCGATAAGCACCACTGCAACCTATAATTCCCAGTAAAACTATGTACATGGTGACTGCCATTGACACTTGACATTCTGTACATCATCAAGAAATCATGAGTCAAGTTTCTATGAAAATCTTTATCAAGATTCTATGAAAATGTGTGCGTGCTGGTTAATTATATCTTGACATTAGCCTTATTTTCAGTTGTGGAACAGACTGACTTTTACATAGTGACATGGCAAAGGCATCCAGCTTTCAGGGACGGAGGGTCCAGCCATCTGGAAACGCTAGTGTGGCTCCCTGCCCCATACTTGTCTAGTTGAAACAGCATCTAAGCCAAAATCCAGAGCAGCCATGACTTGTCTCTGTGTAGTGGATGTCTTCTTTTAAAAACCTCCTAAGTGCTTTAACACTGGGCACTACACAGTTGTACAGAGTTACACTTGATTCACTTTATTGTAGTGCCACTATAAGCCTATTGTATTGGCACCACTCAGTGCACCGCAGAAGTTTTAGCTTGTGGGCAGCTTCATTTCCTGAAATAGAGACGTTTTCTTGATGTTCAGTAGCTAATGTGTCAGTGGCTGCCTATTGCGCACTGCCCGCTAGCAAGCCAGGAAGCCAGGAACTCAAACCTAGCTGTCCATCATCTAGCACTAATACAGGAAGGTACCTTCAGCGGGAGGTGAAAGGGAGGCATACAGTAGGTTACCTGCTAGACGATTATATGGGTGGAGGGGCAGCAAGGAGGGGGAAGGGGGATATGCATGCACCCACCAAATGCTAGGTTCACCACTGCTTGGACTGGAATAAATCCTAATGAGTGTTGTAATTTCATCATCATTGCCATAATTTCAGCCATGCATAATCTCCTAGGTATGGAGCCAATTGTCTGATTATGAAACCTCCCATCACATCCTCTAAATGGCATCCTTTACTGAATTAGTTAAACGATTGTACTGTCTATTGACCTGTAAATTCTGGTAATGCTGGGAATAGTCAGATCTGGGCTAAGTATACCTCCGTACTGTGCTTTGAGTCAGTGTCTGTGTCTGCGGCTGGGTTTTTCCGCATGATAATTGCCTCGTCTTAATTGGAATGCAAATGAAAATGGGCAGCACATGCCAGATTTGTAATAATTACAGTTTCCTTGTTGTTTTGAGGAAAACATCTGCCGTGCTTACAGAGGGATATCTTAACAATTAAAGCATGAAAGACTGAGGAGTTGTCTGAGGTCTGCAGGGTATGCCTATCCCCCTCAGAGTCCAAAATGAGAAGTTTTGTTTTTAATCACTCTGAAAACACTTCAGGTGCTGCTCGCCTGTGTTTATTCTGTTAAGTAGACTTAACATTTTGATGTGATCTGCAACCAATTTCTGATAGCAGCCTCTTAACCAAAACACATCTCACAAATTATGCAAGTTAATGTTTAAAATGTGTTAGCACTCTAGGGATTTTTTTTGCACACCTTGGTTTGCTTGAAAATAGGAAGTAGCTATACTTGCTCAAAGGCTGTAGTACTTTGCTGAAGTCCAAAGTAAACACTGTTGTCACGCCCTGGCTCTGGGGACTCTCGTATGTTGAGCCAGGGTGTTCATTTGTTTATGTTCTAGTCGTTGTATTTCTATGTTGGCCAGGGTGGCTCCCAATCAGAGAGGGCTGTAGCTCGTTGTCTCTGATTGGGAGTCATACTTAGGTAGCCGTTAGGCATTTATTGTTTGTGGTTTCTTGTTCTTATTTGGTTTGTGTTCAACCGTAGACATCACGTTTTCGTCTGTTGTTTTGATCGTGTGATCATACTCTAATAAATATAATTATGTTCACCTTCAACGCTGCGCATTGGTCCTCCTCCTTAGACGATCGTGACAGAAGAAACCACCAGAACTGGACCAAGCAGCCTAGTGAGGAGCAGAGTGGGTGGACTTGGGAACAGTGGAGGAAGAGCTTCGACTGGGTCAAGCCGAATGAGGAGCTGAATGGCGGAGATTGGAAGCAGAAGAGCGAGAGTTGGGCGAGAATTATAGAGGCCTGGCCCACGGGGAAGAGAGACTCCCAGAAAATTTTTAGGGGGGGGGGCTCACGACGTCGGACCGGCAGGAGGCCGCGATAGAGCGGCCCAGCGGGTTGCCAGAGGAGGCCGCCAGGTTACGGGGGCCACTGGTCGAAGAGGGGATGGAGGATGTAGAGGCACGGCGAGAGGTACTTGCGTGTGTTGCCAGTCCGGTCCGGCCTGTTCCTGATCCCCACGTGGGGCCAGTGGTGTGTGTTCCCAGTACGGTCCGGCCTGTTCCTGCCACTCGCACCAAGTCAGTGGTGCGCTTCGTCAGCCCGGCACGGCCCGTTCCTGCTCCCCGCACCAAGTCAGGGGTGCGCTTCGTCAGCCGAGCTCGGCCCGTTCCTGCTCCCCGCACCAAGTCAGTGGTGCGCTTCGTCAGCCCGGTCCGGCTCGCTCCTGCTCCCCGCACCAAGTTAGTGGTGCGTTTCGTCAGCCCGGCGCGGCCCGTTCCTGCTCCCCGCACCAAGTCAGTGGTGCGCTTCGTCAGCCCGGTCCGGCCCGTTCCTGCTCCCCGCACCAAGTCAGTGGTGCGCTTCGTCAGCCCGGCTCGGCCCGTTCCTGCTCCCCGCACCAAGTCAGTGGTGTGCTTCGTCAGCCCAGTCCGGCCTGTCCCTGCTCCACGCACCAAGCCTACGGTGTGCGTCGTCAGCCTGGTAAGGCCCGTTCCTCCTCCACGCACCAAGCCAGGGGTGCGCGTCGTCAGTCCAGCACAACCCGTGCCTGGGACACCGGTGCCTGGTAAGGTCCCGGTCAACTGCTCCACTACGGAGCTGAAGCTATCCGCTCCACCAGTGTGCAGTCCAGCTCCGGTCAGCAGGGCCAGACCGGACCAGGGGTACTTTGGGGGTTTAGAGAAGGAGTGGGGGTCATGTCCGGAGCCGGATCCACCGCCGAGGCGGAGTGCCCACCCGGTCCCTCCCCTGTTGGTTTTGGTTGGCGCGGTCGGAGTCCGCGCCTTTGGGGGGGGGTACTGTCACGCCCTGGCTCTGGGGACTCTCGTATGTTGAGCCAGGGTGTTCATTTGTTTATGTTCTAGTCGTTGTATTTCTATGTTGGCCAGGGTGGCTCCCAATCAGAGAGGGCTGTAGCTCGTTGTCTCTGATTGGGAGTCATACTTAGGTAGCCGTTAGGCATTTATTGTTTGTGGTTTCTTGTTCTTATTTGGTTTGTGTTCAACCGTAGACATCACGTTTTCGTCTGTTGTTTTGATCGTGTGATCATACTCTAATAAATATAATTATGTTCACCTTCAACGCTGCGCATTGGTCCTCCTCCTTAGACGATCGTGACAACTGTTAATATATTGATCCATAGAAAAGACCCCAGTGTGATTCTCATAAGTGTTTTTTTTTTTTGTTGTTGTTGAAAATTCATGCACAAGCAAGACTATGACAGTGAGGGAACAAATTGGACCAGAGTGGTAACACTTATTGCCTTTGGACATAGCGAACTGGACATATCATGCTCTCAACACTTTGAGTAACTACCATTCCAATGATGTGTGACAAGACCTTGGCAACAGCCAGCCACGATACATTCTCTCTCAATGCTGAATAATTGCTTCAACATAATAATGAACTTCAGAGCTCACTGTCACGTAAAATGGCTGTCTGAAATCAAAACTGGCTAATAGGGAAGGAGATTACATTCTAGCTCACTTGAGGAGAGGTGCTGTTGGGTTATCTGGGCTCAGCTGTCCCCTCCCTGCCTTTCACTAAGGATAATGAGGAACTCCAGTGCGCCCTTAAATTTGGCACAGGCTCTGACAATATCACGTTCCCTTAGCATCTCACCCCTTCTAACCTCAGAATGGGCTGAATTGGACCGTGGTCAGAAGTTAGAGGAACTTCCTTCTGTGATCTTCTTTTTATATTCAGCCAAACATTGTGATAACACAGTGATGTTTTAGGTATGGTTTCAGATAAAAAGTGTGTAATTAAGAGGTGCAGAATTAAACGCGTCACATTGTGAACTGTAAATGTCTTGAGTTTTTGAATCTCAAAGAAGTAGCAAAGAAGTCTAACTAAACTTCTAACATTGATCTTACATCTTGTCATGGAATGCCAAGGAAAATATGAATAACTATTAAAGGAAATAGCTTCTTTCTTGGTTATTGGTAGAAAATGTAAGAAGTTATACCAGAATATGTCAGCTAGTTTCAAAGGCTTGTTTTGATGTAGGATAACTCCCACTTCTTGATCCTTCATTAAATAGATTTCTTGGCATTGTCCAATTAATTCATTGAAACAAAAAGACATCTTCTTACCACAGAGGACTTAATCAGTTTATTGTCCTAATTCCGAGCCATCCTTTTATCTTAAATAAATTGACGATATCTAATTACCAGTATACTGTCAGGCAACAATCCATGAACAAGTCATGTCTTACTTCTTTCCTGTGCACTTGCCAGAAACCTGCAGTGAAACAATGATAGGTAGAATATGATAGAATTGCAGAAGTAGACACTTGTTTTCACTGTTGACAATGAACATAATTAACAGCAGTACAGCACATAATGAAAATATAGCATTAAGAAAATGTATCCATGTTTAAAGTCAGCAAAATATATAATTTTTCAGAATAGTGGAGCATCATTAGATAAATCAAATTTCCACCAAAAGAGTTAAAGTTAAAGAGTTAAAGTTAAAGTTGCAATATATAACTTTTTGGGCGACCTGACCAAATTCACATAGAAATGTGAGTTATAGATCTGTCATTCTCATTGAAAGCAGGTCTAAGAAGTGGTATACAGTGCATTCGGAAAGTATTCAGACCCCTTGACTTTTTCCACATTTTGTTACGTTACAGCCTTATTCTAAAATGGATTAAATAAAGCAAATCATCAGCAATCTACACACAATACCCCATAATGACAAAGCAAAAACAGGTTTCTAGATTTTTTTGCAAATTTAAAAAGCAAAACAAAGAAATATGTTATTTACATAAGTATTCAGACATGATTTGGAAAGGCACACACCAGTCTATATAAGGTCACACAGTTGACAGTGCATGTCAGAGCAAAAACCAAGCCATGAGGTCGAAGGAATTGTCCGTAGAGCTCCGAGACGGCATTGTGTCGAGGCACATATCTGGGTAAGGGTACCAAAAAATGTCTGCAGCATTGAAGGTCCCCAGGAACACAGTGGCCTCAAACATTCTTAAATCGAAGAAGTTTGGAACCACCAAGTCTCTTCCTAGAGCTGGCCACCCGGCCAAACTGAGCAGTCGGGGGAGAAGGGCCTTGGTCCGGGAGGTGGTCAAGAACCTGATGGTCACTCTGACAGAGCTCCAGAGTTCCTCTGTGGAGATGGGAGAACTTTCCAGAAGGACAACCATCTCTACAGCACTCCACCAATCAGGCCTTTATGGTAGAGTGGCCAGACGGAAGCAACTCCTCAGTAAAAAGCACAACAGCCCGCTTGCCGCTTGGAGTTTGCCAAAAGGCACCTAAAGACTCTCAGACCATGATGAAACCAAGATTGAACTTTTTGGCCTGAATGCCAAGCGTCATGGTGAAGCATGGTGGTCCAGCATCATGCTATGGGGATGTTTTTCAGCGGCAGGGACTGGGAGACTAGTCAGGATCGAGGGAAAGATGAAAGGAGCAAAGTACACAGAGATATTTAATGAAAACCTGCTCCAGAGCGCTCTGGACTTCAGACTGGAGCGAAGTTTCACCTTCCAACAGGACAACGACCCTAATCACACAGCCAAGACAACGCAGGAGTGACAAGTCTCTGAATGTCCTTGAGTGGCCCAGCCAGAGCCCGGACTTGAACCCGATCGAACATCTCTGGAGAGACCTGAAAATAGCTGTGCAGTGACGCTCCTCATCCAACCTGACAGCGCTTGAGAGGATCTGTAGAGAAGAATGGGAGAAACTCCCCAAATACAGGTGTGCCAAGCTTGTAACGTCATACCCAAGAAGACTCGAGGCTGTAATCGCTGCCAAAGGTTCTTCACCAAAGTACTGAGTAAAGGGTCTGATTACTTATGTAATACTTCAGTTTTTTATTTTTAATAAATTAGCAACAATTTCTAAAAGCCTGTTTTTGCTTTGTCATTATGGGGTATTGTGTGTAGATTGATGAGCGGAAAAAACAATTACATTAATTGTAGAATAAGGCTATAACCAAACAAAATGTGAGAAAAGTAAATGGGTCTGAATACTTTCCGAAGGCACTGTATCTGTTCTAAGTGTCCTATTTCTATGCTTTCCGTTCTTCCGTTTAGTTTTTGCTTCTAATTATTTTGGTTTTGTACACCAGCTTCAAACAGCTGAAAATACAATATTTTTAGTTATTGAAAATATATTTCACAGTGGTTTAGATGGTACAATGATTCTCTACACTCTGAGTGCTTGTTTTGTCACATAAACTAAAATTAGTCAAACTATTAGAATTTTAGCAACCAGGAAATGCATATTGCACCTTTAAGTCCAGGACCTCCACTGGTTGCATTGTCAACTTCAACGAACATTCCCAGTAACAAGCGGCCACTTTAGTCCAGTGAGTCAGCCTTCCCCTTTCTGACCTTATCTGTGGGGGTACAGCCTGCCCTCCTTGACTCCGCCGGTGGCATAGCTTGACCTGGCGCCAGCAGTCCTCTCGCTTAAAGGCACTGACCTGCTGCCATCCTGTCCATGGTGGACCGGGGTTGGCAACATAGGCCTATGTTTACTGTATGGTTGTGTCATGTGACCTAACTGAGCCATCTGGTGATGTTCTTTTGAATACATGAATACTGGCATTTCTCCGGGACTAGAATGCTGGCAGAAAATACATGTGTGTTTGCATTTACTGAGGTGTTGGCCTATGTAATCCAGTTGAGAAGGGCTTTTTAGCTATTTTTACTGCACGTACACTACATGGCCAAAGGTATGTGGACAACTGCTAGTCAAACATCTCATTCCAAAATCATGGGCATTAATATGGAGTTGCTCCCCCCTTTGCTGCTATAACAGCCTTTCCCCACTCTTCTGGGAAGTATTTCCACTAGATGTTGGAACATTGGTGCGGGGACTTGCTTCCATTCAGCCACAAGAGCATTAGTGAGGTCGGGCACTGATGTTGGGCGTTTAGGCCTGGCTCGCAGTCTGCGTTCAAATTCATCCCAAAGGTGTTCGATGGGGTTGAGGTCAGAGCTCTGTGCAGGCTAGTCAAGTCCTTTTACACCGATCTCGACAAACCATTTCTGCCACAAAATTTGAAGCACAGAATCGTCTAGAATGTCAATGTATTCTGTAGCGTTAAGATTTCCCTTCACTGGAACTAAGGGGCCTAGCCCGAACCATGAAAAACAGCCCCAGACCATTATTCCTCCTCCACCAAACCTTACAGTTGGCACTATATATTCAGACAGGTAGCGTTCTCCTGGCATCCGCCAAACCCAGATTCATCACTCCAGAGAACGAGTTTCCACTGCTCCAGAGTCCAATGGCGGCGAGCTTTACACCACTCCAGCCGACGCTTGTCATTGCGCATGGTGATCTTAGGCTTGTGTGTGGCTGCTCGGCCATGGAAACCCATTTCATGAAGCTCCCGACAAACAGTTATTGTGCTGAAGTTGCTTCCAGAGGCAGTTTGGAACTCGGTAGGGAGTGTTGCTCCTAGACACTTCCACTTCACAATAACAGCACTTCCAGTTGACCAGGGCAGCTCTCTTATTTTGGCCATGTAGTGTATGTCTATCAGTAAGCATGTCACGAGCTGTCATGCATGATGAGTAATTATGAGTGCGACGTACTGTAAATATAGAATGTTAATTAATTTAGAGCTCATTCCAGCAAGGTGCTCAAACAAGCTTTTTACATTTAGCTGCATTCTAATGCCCCAGTCATTATCATGTCTGTTCTGTTGATAGTTTCCAAATATTTGTTCGTGAGGATAAACTGTTCTAAAGCCCTCTTATCTTAGCTGTGTACCCTCCTTCAACTTATTTACTGTAAGGTCATTATCTAATGTCATTAAATCAAATCAGATCAAATTTTATTTGTCACATGTGCCGA